ACATTTTCATCCTAATCCGGCCTATTTCCCCCCGGTGGATGCTTCTACTTTGTTGTGGCTGTCACGGGTGTTTTTGTAGCTGATGATGTTGTTCTTGTATTCACCGGAGTCTTCTGGCATTAGCTGCTGTTGACAGCTCGGCTAATGGAGGACTTGATGATTTGTAGGTCTGCGCCGAGAAGCCCGGCAATGTGCGGATCACTGGAATTTAACGTGTTGCCTAGCAACAGTGTGAGCAGGGGCAGTTCCTGTTTCTCGGAGAGGAGGAGGGAGGGATCTCTCAGAGAAGGCGCCTAACCTTTTTATTTGTAGCATTTAGACAGAAGGAACAGCAAAGGTGACGGCTGCACATATCGGAGCAGCGGACTGTTGGAGATGTCCCGAGCCGTCACGTGTTGTCTAAAACTTGTCTTTGTAACACTACTGCAGTCATTTTTTTCACTCCTCAGTCCTGGAACATCATGTCACCCTTAAGTTGCATTTGTCTAATGTACAGCCATTATTTAAGTCTCTCTCTCTGTTTTTTTTTTTTTTTTTTGTATATATCCTTTTAGAAATTCCCCAAAGAATGTCAGTGAAGCAAAACTAAATGTTCATGTGAAGTTGCCAATTATTGCTTAAATTATTGACTTGAGTTCTGTACTTGTTAATGCCATACACTAACTTCTAAGTCTTTTACTTAATAAATATGTCTGAAGTTCATTTTAAGTCTGTGTTTCTGTGTTAAGCTTATTAAAGGTGAAACTTTGTTGGATGTATTAAGTCAGTTTTCTTTATGCAACCTGATATCACAAATCTGTTGGTGCACTCTGACCTTGGACATTTCATCTCATTTAAGTGAAAACTTCACAAAAGCTCTTTAACAGGAGCAAGAGCAGCTGAAGAGCTGAAGGATCCCTCTTGGACAGCCATATGTACTGACCAGTGATTATAAAGAAATCCACACCCACCCTGACTGACTCCCCACTATATCTTTCTACTTTGGTCAAAGTACATCACACTGCACTTTTCAAGGTTTTGTTTAGCAGGAGCAAATGATTATTTGGGTACACTAATCAAATTCCAAGACTGATAGCTTGGCAGCACATTGTCTATTTTGTCTTAAAGATAACCTTTAATATCACTCACTCTTACTTTCCTGATCAAGGACACAATGGCCTACTTCACAGTCATCACAAAGAAATGCGGCATTACAAATAACACTGTATGCTTGAATGAAAAGCCTTACAAATAGTACCAATGGCAAGGCTGCATTTAAAAGGATTTGTGGACAAAAATGATCAAGTCAAAACAAGGCTCTGGACGTACTAATGAAACGTGCACACGCTTAAAAACACACGTCCAGTGCTGCATGCACTCATCTCATTACATAATCCTTGTTTTGATCACAAGTACCACGATGGTGATAAAGAAAGGTGTTTTAAGTGACAAGTATGTATGCAGAAAAGCATCTCTGATCACACAACACACAAAAACCTTAAAGTAGATGGGCTACAGCTGCAGAAGACCACACCATGTGTTGATCCTCTCAGCCAAAAATAGGAAACTGAGGACGCAATTGCCGTCTTGTTCACCAAAACAACACAACAGAAGACTGAAAAAATGTTGCCCACTCTATGGCAACATTCAGATCAGTCAGAATTTAAAATAAACAACATGGAAACGGGGAGGGTGGTTAATCTTTTTTTTTATACCTGAAATGTACCCGATTTTAAGATCACTCCTAGGTGCACAGGTAACCATGTTAGCAAGTCTGTAGCACTTAATGTGAACCTAAAATGCACTGATGACACTGGCTGTTGTAGAAAGCCACCAGAGGTCTTCTGTTCCCCAGCACAGGCCATGAATAATAAGCCTAAACACAGAGAACCACTCCTTGAGGTCAACTGGGTGGGGTGGGGGGGGTTTGTGATTATAGATGATCTGTTTTCAAGCCTTAAAACAACAACAACAGCAACTTGATAACACATGCAGTGTTTAAACCTAAAACAGCTCTTTACCTTCAGCACAACAGGAGTTTTAATGCGTTAACTGCATATTGAACTGGGGGATAGTGGGGGAACTGGAAACACAGATAAGCTGCTGTTTGAATCGTAAATAAACGACTGTCACATTTTGCTTTGACCACAGTCCGTATTAACAAGCTAGCACGAGAACATCTATTCATTTAACTGAAAAATCTTAAGCTTTGCCATTTTTTATTTAGTAATGAGTAAATGCTCTCTTAGGAAGCAAATAACCAGGATAAGCTTGAACCTATGACTTGCTAGCATGATGCTGTGGTGTTTCTGCTATAAGGTTAAACTTTTTTAAATGGAGTCATTTCTTAAATAAATTAGCCCCCTGCTATTTCAGTGGTTTCCGTTTCTTTTGCCTTTCCTTGTTTACACAAACCATCCTCCCTGACCTCCACCTCTAAATTTGCTTTGTCTTTCGCCCGGCTGATATTGGCCCTTATCAGAATCTCCTTGGCTACGTCCTGCTCTCCCACTGATGATAGGACATGGATGAAAGGTCTGAATGTTTGCAATGCCTGAGCTATCACACACAGGATACAGCATTAACTTATCCAGTACAGTCAAGGCAATTGTGGGAATATTCTCTGCACCGGCAGCTTCAGATAAATTTCATCTCTTGGCTCCTCCAACATTGATTTTCTACAACAAGAAATGGAATAGCGGTCTGATCATCTTTTGGATAAACAGGGCTGCCAGCCAGCCTGTCTCCCTACGATACTCCCTTCTCTTATCTTTTCCTACAGTTTCTGTCTCTCTGTTTTTCTTCAGTACATTTATCAAAAAATTTGCCCATGTACATTACATGTCTCCGCAAATCAGATAACGGTCTGACAAAAGCGTACTGAGCCTGTCATCCATGGCAGGTTGCTCGAAGGCATGATTATTCTTTACGATCACAGTCACGGCAGGCATGTGGTCTTTTGACAAATACTGCACCTTTGTGGATTGCGAAATGTAACTCCTGAGCTGGTTATACTGCAGACTGCCATTAAAATGATAATTGAACATGTATGGGAATATACCTACAGGGAATCTTGTGTATAACTTTGATCATACTTTCATGTCTGACTGTGAAATATGAAGCTAGACTAGAAATAAAGCTATATAAAAGCTATATAGTAACAGATATAAAGCATTTGTTGTAAACACATAAAAAGGACTTATAGTTGATGATCTGTTGAGTCGTGCTCAGTTGACACATAAAATATGAAAGTTGTAGCTTGTATATTAATGTAAAAATGTTAGATATAATGGCGTAAATAATGTGAAATAACCCCTGTGAGCAAAAACTTTACCATAAAGACATGTGGTGCAGCTGTACCTTAGTAGGCTTCCAGAAGATGACCAATCAGAGAGAAATCAGCTTTTATAGAGCAGGATTTCAAGGGAAAGGATCACAGACTCTGTAGACTCAACAAAAGGCAACATAGTTTCCATAAACTGCAGTTCATCTAATGGCCACTTGAAACTGGCTCCAAGCTCGCTATAGTCTTATCTTACAATTTCGCGTTCAACGCTCTGCAAATGTTAACTTTTGGCTCCAAAACCCCCCAAAATGACAGAAACCTAAATACTAAAACTGAAACTTTAAAATCCCAAATCAGATGACGAAGGTATGGTGGTTGTGTCCATCATTAATATAATACAGTCTATGCTTTAGATAAAAGATGAACTGAGAAGTTGTTTGAAGTAGAAAAACAAATATTTTCAGTAGGGATCATGCAAAGCTACTCTAGTCCCAGGATATTGAAGTTTTAATTTCTTTTTACTTGGCAGTGGATTAAAGCAAAAAATAAAAAAGCTGATTTATTGATCAAATTAACTCCATCTTCTATGGCAGCTTCTGAAAAACAATCCCTGCTTGGAAAACAGATTTGTGCAGCCCAGAAGAGGCACATGTGGCACTGACATATTTGATGTAAACTAATGAACAGGTCAGCAGCAAGTGATCTGTGCAGTCTAGACATTTGTTCCTTCCTCTCGTGATGGATAGGAGCCTGCAGCACAGACGGTGAGACTGCCTAGGACCGGGATCGGGATCCAGAGGGAGGATGACTGAGGGAAGAGCGCTGCCATCTGAAACCCTCTTGAGGAGCTGGAGAAAATGGTCACTTGTGCAGAGCGTCTCATTACTACACAAGCACATCATCTATCAGACATGGCAGTGCAGACCCACGCGAAACACACACGTGTTGCAGGTTCACACACACACACACACACACACACACACACACACACACACACACACAATCAAACTATTGCATACATCTTGCACAGCAGCAGCAGAAAAGGAAGCTGAGGAGAGAATATGGGTTGGCAAAGCTATGCTGTCTGATTGCTGATGAGCTATCTGCACACTGACATGTAGGTTATGTTCTCTCTGTGCAGTGAGCTTTGCCACAGCTGCTCTGACAGTCTCGTAATTCCTGTCTCAGGATGGAAAATGGGGTTGCAGTCGAAGGCTCAGCTGGATGAGGAGCAGAGGAACGACTGTCCTACATGAGCGACCCTCTGTTTCAAACT